AATAGGATACCTTTACATTAACTTAGCTTGAGAGAAAGTGACGTTTGTGAGGTACTTAATCAGGTCACGTGCTGGAAGGTTCATCCTAGAAACGCTGAGAATGGAGGAGTCGTTGAATTAAGGCAAGCTCAATCCCGCCGTATTCCAGGAACGCCTGTTCCATTGCAAGGTTCCTTTGAGCTCGGGGCTGCCGAGCACGCGTGTGTTCAGTGCAGCAATGTCACTGCCTCTCTGCTGCTCTGACTCCATGCAGTAAAGCCCTTGGGACATGGGATCGTGGAACGAGTGCAATATTTATTATTAGAATTTTTAGTTATAATTTTTGCAATATATATGCAAAATCTGTAAGATGATTCCCAGTAGATTTCGGTGTATTGGTGTCATGCTCAATGTATGAGAGGAAAGAAAGTTTCATAAGGAAGTGATTTCTAGGTAAAACTACCATAACCACTTCTTATTGTATGTTTAGTTGCTAGCTCTTTTTTATTTTCCCTATTAAAAAACTTTTTTTTTTTCAGTTGATTATCTCTTCATGTTAATTTTTATGTGGGAGAGAGTCACTTTTTTGTCAACCTCATTTTTATACCTTAAGTTTTAAAATATACAGTATTACATTCTGTGTATGTTCTATTGTGCTAAGTATTGATATATATGGCTTTATCTAGAGCGAACAGGAACGTGTTCCTCAGCTTCTGTTTGCTGCTGACGTATTTGTACACATGCCCCTGCTCCGCAAGCACCAGTGTTTGCTGACCGCTCCACATGGCCCGTGCAGGGCTGCCAGCAGGGTAGCAGAGGGAGCTCCTCTGCTTACTTGGATGGATTTAATATGCGTACTGCAAATGTAGATCTCCAGAATTACCCTGCATTAAGCCTTTTAGGGAATATTTATTTGAAAAGTTCTTGTAGCAGATTTTCATGGGCAATAGCAAGTTGATTAGCACAGTCTTGCTGCAGAAATACCATCTCCTGCAGTGCAGAATCCAGAATGTACTGTCTGCTCACGGCATGAGTTGAGGGCAGCTCATAGCATATTTACCATAGATTACTTGCTATGTACTCGTTCTTCTGAGACCATGTTATTTTCAAACAGACAAAATTTGTGGATTGTTGTTGTTTTACTTTATTTTTCTCTGTCAAACAAGGAAAATCAGTATCTCTGCTTCTAGTTTCAGGTTTCTTTCTGGTCAGTGCTCAGACAACTGAGAGCTTTATTCAGAAGCATATTAAGATAATATAACAAGCACTGGATACTCCTTTGTTTCTTCCTTTTTGCTTCGTTTATTGATCACCAAAAAAAAAGAATATTATACACTTCAGATGTCTTGACCACGCATTCATATGCCCAGTTATTTCACCTACCACTGTCACTGAGAAATTTAAGAATTTTAACACTTGCTTTTAAGTGAAAGAGCAAAGTTACACCTGTTTCTCTTCAGTAGTTGCCTTGTGCTGCCTTGAATGGTGACTTGCAATTGAATTATGGCCCTTTGGGGTGGGAGGGAATTGTTATGTCCTGTAACTACCTGGAAATATAAAGAAAAATACTTCCGTATGGAATCCTTTTCTTTCTAGACTTGTGCTCAAGCTACTTTGTATAGTTTGCATTGCAAGTAGGATACTGAGGCAGCCATGGATGAGTCCTTGCTAGGCTTAATCAAGTTTAATCCTGTTACTGTGGCAGGTTTTCAGTTTAGAGTGGGAGATAACATTTTTGGATCTTGAGCAGCTCAAAGGGCTCACTGCTGATGAAAGCAAAGGGTCATGTTTCTACTACGTTCCTTCTATATCTATGTTATTCAGATACCACTCAGTGCTGAGCCAATTAAAATTGCTAAGCCAGCAGAAAATTAGTCTGGAAAAAAGCACGGAAAAACTCAAGGCCATAAAAATGTGGAAAAAAATATATTTTAGAGATCTTTAAGACTTGATTTTTTTTTTCTTCTAAATGAGATTAAACTACAACTATTAGACTTGCACTAAAAGATACCACAGGGGAGTGCTTGTGATCAATGATGGTAGCAAGCTTAGGCTAATGTTATGATCTATTGGTAGTAACAGAGCTCTTTGAAAAATTATGATTTAAGTATTGAATAGCCTTGAAGTGGAGTTACTGATATTATGTCTTTTTCACAGGTATTTCTGTACACCCCAAAGCAGTAAACGCCTTCTGTCTAGCACTTACGGTTAAATGTGGGCTATTTACACCAGATAGTCTTTTTTTTGTATACAGTATTTCAGAAACCACCATAAGTAGCAGGAACAGTGTGGCCAGCAGGAGCAGGGAAGCGATCACCCCACTGTACTCTGCGCTGGTGAGGCTGCACCTCGAATACTGTGTTCAGTTTTGGGTCCCTCACTACAAGAAGGATATAGAAGTGCTGGAGTGTGTCCAGAAAAGGGCAACGAAGCTGATGAAGGGACTGGAGCACAGACTTTGTAAGGAGTGGCAGAGGGAGCAGGGGTTATTTAGTCTGGAGAAGAGGAGGTTCAGGGGAGACCTTATCCCTCTCCACAACTACCTGAAAGGAGGTTGCAGTGAGGTGGGAGTCGATCTCTTAGAAGAGTACCAGAATAAGTACCCCAAGAACGAGATGCTTGACAGCTTGATTAACAAACCTCTCTGCCAGACAATGTCCCTTTTCTGTAAGGTCAGTGAAGGAAGCCACTAAGCGTAATTCGTTTTAGTACCTGCTTTCAGCACAGGTGGTCAGTTTTGGAACTCAGTCACAGTATTTGCCATCATATTAAACTGCTCTTACTTTACCAGTATTTTGCTTCAAGATCCGCTCAAAGTGCACCCCTTTATAACCCGTGCTAAACAAACATGTTAGCACCTTGTTTATTATCAACCCTGAAAGGACACATAAAGCGAATTTTATCTGAATGCCAAATTATTTATAATGTCAGCTTTGAAAGATTTAATTTAAACAAATGTCAGCATCTCTGCTGTAACATTTTTGCGGTAGTTTTACAGGCTTCTGGATTAGCTGCTCTCTATTAGCAAAGGAAGTTTAGGGCTTTGTCATTGCAAACTTTGAGGCTCCCCTGGTATCTTGCCAACATTCTTCTCTTGCTCAGTCTGGGGATCTTAACAGTAAGGTTACTATGCCTGATTTTCAATTAACATCACTTTATGTGCAGAATATCCTGCTCTCAAACCGCCATGAAGTATATTGTATTTACAGATTGGTAAACTGATACTTAGCTACTGATAAAGTTTTAATGAAATGAATATTACTATGATGCCATTTTTTATTTGTAAATTAAGCAATTTAATAGAAGTAACAAATGAGGTCTCTTTTGCAACTTATTTTCAGCATTCATTTAATAAGCATCAAAGTGAAGGTACCAAGTTTAGTTGCTTCATGTGTGGCTTTCCCTGTATTCACTGCCCCTCCTGTCTATCCAAACAAAAATGTAGTGTGTTATAGTGAGGAAGAATGGACCTCACTATCTGCCTGCATATAGCCATAATTTATCTACAGGAAATAGTGCCAGGTTATAACCACCACTCACATGCTTTAGTTACACTAACTATGCTTGAAATTTTGTAGTGTCCCTAAATACTGTTCACAGCAATAAAGCAATGTTTTGCAGTCTTCCTACATATTGCCTCCCTTAACTGAAAAATAAAGCATTTCTACCCCCATTGTGCTACAGTACTTTAAAACTTTGCTCATATTAAAAAAAAAAAAAAGAAATCCAACCTTTTTCTTGCAATAGGAAGTTGGGGATTTTATCACCAAGTGGTCTGACTGCAACCTCAACCTTGTTCTTCGAGGTTCTTACTCATCATGTCCCCAGTGTATCAGGAAAGCAGGAAATGAATTGCAGAAATGTTGATTAGAGGGAATTTCTGGAGGTCACCCAGCCCTACCCCCTTCTTGCTGGGGGAATGTTTCCAGGAGTCAGTCAAGGGATCCCTGTCTTTGCCTACTTGGCTATGGAACGAGGATGGAGATTGCACATCCCTTCTGGGTGATCTCGTGCAGCGCCGCACAGCCCTCCCAGTGAAGCAACTTTCCGTGCCCAACCTGAGCCTCGGACTAAATTCATAGTTTCCTGCTTTCTCTTTATTTTCTTGTTCATGAGGAACAGGGTAAGAAGCCTGGGCTTAACTGAGCTTTCTTAAGAAATTTGGTAGCGTACGCAAGTATTACTGG